GATTACATCAGAAAATCYTAATGTAATATTCGTTTTCAATGTGAAATCATACAATGCAATATGTTGAATATTTCACGCCGAGGGAATGTCACTTTTTCTTTTTTTCTTTTTGTTAAAAATTTATTTGAGTTAAATTTGTAAACTGAGCGTGTTTAGATCAATGAATTTTTATTATGTTGCAAGTCCGATATTACAATCTAACTATAGTATAGTATAGAATGCAGTAAGTAGGAATATAGTGTTTATTATTTTATCATATTTCACGACACTAGTGTGCAAAAACATAATGTGTCCCTCAAGGTTGCTAAACAAAGCCAGGTGAAACCTGTCTATACAAATTCATTTGTTTAACTCCTAAAAACGAATCGACTTCACATAAGCAAAGTCATGACTGTTAAACAGTTGAAAATAGAGAGATATTTTTTTACGATGATAAATGTTATTGTCGTGATTGTGTCGTAGTTTTGTCTAGCTAGCTCCTTTTTTTACGGCTCCTTTTGTTTTACTGCGACCGCGGAAAATTGTTTTCTNACAATCTCAATTATATAGTCAAAGTGATAAATTTGGAAAAGGGTATTGCAGTCATGCATTAATAAAATATAGTTATAAGCTAATCTTGAAATACTAAGAAAGTCCTTTTCTCTCTTCTATCTCTATCTACTTGAAAACAAACGTCTACATACTACAACGTACAAGAAACTCATCTATTGATGCTTGAACTTGTGGAAGTATTCTTTATTTCATACAAAATAATAATGATAGTGYAATTATAATTCTTTTTATGTTGTGAAAATAAAAATATTTAGGAATGAGTGGTGTGAAATTAGCTCTATTAAAATACTTACATATATAATGACTGAAAAATTACATTAAGTTATGTAAGACTTAGCATGTCCTCTCTGGCTCGTGTGAGCTCGTTTCATTTCTGAGGTAATTCTCTCGAATCCTCCACATTGAATTTAAAATTTCTTCTTTTGATTGATTGATTGATTTTTTTCATTATTTATGTTCTGGAATAAAATATTGTATTAAATTGTTTATTTATTGGAATTCTCAAATAATTATTTTTTTATTCGCATATATTGCTTGTGGTACTTCAGGTTTGTCTCACGAGGTGGAATGTCTTGCTTGGTACAGCTTTGCCATTCTCTCGTAAAAGTACGTATCCCTTCACTATCAATTATAATATTTGCATACGTTTTGCACAATGTAATCCTCAAACACGCCTGAAAACATCGAGAGAGTACAATATTCGTGGCTTTGGTTCGTTTAGCTTCAAATAATTGTTTGTGTAGAGGTAGTTGAAAGTGGATCATTTTTATCTATCCTTCCTCATTCTGTTGGAAACGATACACAAACTACCCCCGGTAAAGCTTACTTCTCAGTAGTTAAATTCATTGTTAATTAGAAACGTCTTACTGGACAAAGATTATTCCTTACGAATAAAGATCATCTTAAGTTCCTTATAAACGAATGACTATACTAGTAAATCATCCACCGATCGATGATTAAGATTCGTATAATATTTTAGTATAATTTGCCAAAAGTCACTAAGTCGTATTCATTTCATTTGAAATGTGAAGTCAATATAGGCAGAGCAATTTAAGAAATATGGCATCAGTTAAGTTTTGACACATGAAATGCGGTAAGCGCAGATAAAAGAATTTCTTACAACCCGACAAACGCCGTCGGCGAAATTGCTTTATGAAATGTATTGCCGCTTTAAGGACCGAGTATGTTGTTATCGTACGCTATTAGTAGTTCGTATATATTCATACAAGTATTTCTTAAAAAAAGGTCGAGTACTTTGATATTATATTCTATTTCTTTACAGGGAACACCTTTGATAAAAAACTAACGACGCTTAATATCAACAATGCATTTCGGTCTTGAAATATGCTGTACAGAACCATATATAGAACTCAGCAGTACTTGAAATACCTTGGATGCATTTTAAACTGTATATGCAATTGTATTAGATATTAAAATCTTTTCATCTAATCCTCGATTTATTMGTGGATGCATGCATCGGCTTTAGCCTAGTCGTCCATGGTGAACCGACATTGTTCATCATTCATATCTCAGTCTCTACTGTAATGAAGATGTAGTTCATTGATATTCATTAGTGCGTACCTACTTGTCATTTATAACTCACGAGGTTTTTTACTGATCTGTTCTTATTAATTAATAATACTTGTTTATGTTCCTCGTCGCCTTTGAAGAGTGTTTGGGTTATTTTAAGTTATTAAAATTGTAAGTTGTTAAAAAAACAGATGTGTATTTGCTATATGACGTAACTAGATATGACGTCACATTCCTTACACTGGTCAGCGCTTGACAACAATACCTACATGTTGTTTCAATCTTGTACATTTGTATAATCTCCTTATATGGGTAATAAAAAAAAACAGCTTTAATTATAACGATCTTCGTAGAGGACCGCTAACCAGCAGTAGTAAGCGATTATATACATGTAATGTAAGAGAGATTCCACTCCATGCGTGTGTGTTACGGTTTTTGTTGTTGTTGTTGCTGCTACTCCAACACTCACTCACTCACTCACTCACTCACTCACTCACTCACTCACTCACTCACTCACTCACTCACTTTTCTATAAGCCTTCAATCAATAATTTATTAATAAGCATTCACAACAGTTTGAATGTTTATTTATTGATTAACATAATGATACAAATAACTGACTAAATTAAACTGACTAAATCCTGTGTACAAAGAAAGACAGCGAGGGACTGAAGTCTAGTGGTTACCAGTCCCTTGAGATGTCATCAAGTGAATGGAAGCACTGGTACAATACCACATGTTATGCAGGCTTTAMAAACACGAAAAAGAGCCGGATTATAAAGATGATAATAGTCTAGAAAGGAAAAGAGAGTAGAATGTAGTATTAGAAGATTTATTTTCAATGAAAGTGTGAATTTGAGAGAGATGTGAGAAGATTAAAATCTAATTATAAAAAAGCTAAATAATGTCGTCCTCCTTTGTTCGCTTTTTTTACTATTGCGCATATAGACCATACACGAATCCTTAATTGTTAATGTACTGTTAGTAAGCCTGAAATCGATTATTGCTTGTGAGTCTTTTCATTATAATCACCAGCATAAACCTATTGCAAGCTTCAACGGTCTATCCTATACTGAAGCTAATACGAATATGGTTAAAGACTATTCATTTCATTGAAGTTTAAGTGTAGACTCCAGTTCTGTTCGTAGATAAAGTACAGTCAGCTCTCGCCTTACGAACACCCCGCTACAACGGACACCTCGATATTGCGGACAGTAAAATACTGAATCCCCGGTGAAATATACATATATATCTCGTTACTACGGACTCTCGCTACTTACGGTCCCGAGGATGTCCATAGTAGCGAGAGGACTAATGTTAGTGTACTATTCTCTCTTTAAAGTCCCGTAGTATTTAGCATCATCATCATCATCATCATCATTATTATTATGGCAGATTTTATTGACATTTCTTTGTTTCATAATTACATTAACCAGCGGGCCTTAGATCTAAGCTAGTTAATTACATCTTTTTCATATTCCCTTTTTCAGTTAACATATTCATAGAACTTCTTTACAATATTTACATTCTGACTCAAAATCCATTTCTGACAGCGTTCAATAAGATAGTTCAGTTCCATGTCAGTGTTCGTAATTGGTCTCAAATCCTTGCGTAGTTGTTCGTGATGTCCTCCAAGAAAGTCGAAAACGATATTAATTTGGTTGACTTCTTTACTTTTATGCTCCCTTTTGATGCCTGCGCGTAATTCTGTGTACTTTGTTTGTTTTTCATTTGATCGATCTAAGATTTTATCTACTTGGCAGACTGTCCCTTCAAGTAATGTCCAGGTATTGTCTTCTTTATCATAGACAATCACGTCGGGTTTATTTGCTCCATTTTCTGGTGGCGTTTCAAGGTAGTAGGGCACGTTCCAGTATATCTTTGCCTTCTCATTCTCAATCACTGCAGATGGTAGACTTTGTTGGTACCATGGTTTTCCATGGTCACTTTCTTGAAAGCTGTACTTGTTGAGCAAGCAGTGATATATCGGTCTTAGCATCCTGTCGTGTCTAGCTGTATAGAGGGTCTGGGCGATCTTTGAACAGCCGCTTAGAACGNGAATGTAGTATTAGAAGATTTATTTTCAATGAAAGTGTGAATTTGAGAGAGATGTGAGAAGATTAAAATCTAATTATAAAAAAGCTAAATAATGTCGTCCTCCTTTGTTCGCTTTTTTTACTATTGCGCATATAGACCATACACGAATCCTTAATTGTTAATGTACTGTTAGTAAGCCTGAAATCGATTATTGCTTGTGAGTCTTTTCATTATAATCACCAGCATAAACCTATTGCAAGCTTCAACGGTCTATCCTATACTGAAGCTAATACGAATATGGTTAAAGACTATTCATTTCATTGAAGTTTAAGTGTAGACTCCAGTTCTGTTCGTAGATAAAGTACAGTCAGCTCTCGCCTTACGAACACCCCGCTACAACGGACACCTCGATATTGCGGACAGTAAAATACTGAATCCCCGGTGAAATATACATATATATCTCGTTACTACGGACTCTCGCTACTTACGGTCCCGAGGATGTCCATAGTAGCGAGAGGACTAATGTTAGTGTACTATTCTCTCTTTAAAGTCCCGTAGTATTTAGCATCATCATCATCATCATCATCATTATTATTATGGCAGATTTTATTGACATTTCTTTGTTTCATAATTACATTAACCAGCGGGCCTTAGATCTAAGCTAGTTAATTACATCTTTTTCATATTCCCTTTTTCAGTTAACATATTCATAGAACTTCTTTACAATATTTACATTCTGACTCAAAATCCATTTCTGACAGCGTTCAATAAGATTTAATAAGTTCAGTTCCATGTCAGTGTTCGTAATTGGTCTCAAATCCTTGGGTAGTTGTTCGTGATGTCCTCCAAGAAAGTCGAAAACGATATTAATTTGGTTGACTTCTTTACTTTTATGCTCCCTTTTGATGCCTGCGCGTAATTCWRTGTACTTTGTTTGTTTTTCRTTTGATCGATSTAAGATTTTATCTACTTGGCAGACTGTCCCTTCAAGTAATGTCCAGGTATTGTCTTCTTTATCATAGACAATCACGTCGGGTTTATTTGCTCCATTTTCTGGTGGCGTTTCAAGGTAGTAGGGCACGTTCCAGTATATCTTTGCCTTCTCATTCTCAATCACTGCAGATGGTAGACTTTGTTGGTACCATGGTTTCCCATGGTCACTTTCTTGAAATCTGTACTTGTTGAGCAAGCAGTGATATATCGGTCTTAGCATCMTGTCGTGYCTGGCTGTATARAGGGTCTGGGCGATCTTTGAACAGCCRCTTAGAACGTGTGTTGTTGACTCTGTAGCTGAGTGGCACATTCTACASTTGGTGTCKGTGATGGCCATCTGTGCTTTACTTTGTTGGTACGTCTTTGTTGGTAATAATTGTTGTCGTATGGTTWTATTTACGCTATAAACAATATCAGGTATGTTTTTCCATCTCTTCAGGATTTGGTTGACAGTGGGTGACATTTGTTTGTCCTGGAGCTGTTTGCTGGTGTAAGCTCCAAGCCATCTCTGTTCTTCYGCTTCCTTGGTGTACTTTTCTGTGATCTTAGATTTCAGCAGCTCTTTTAGTGMTGTAGGGGAAGAAGCARTCGTCTTAGTCTCCACTACAGCAGCTGTTATGTCTTTGTTTGCATATATTATAGTGCCTGTATCATCAAACATACACTTGATGTTGTATTCTGCTGCGTCCTTGGTTGCTTGTTTGAAGATTGACTTTCTTCCTGCGGTGATTCTATGCATTTCGTATGTTCTTGCTTGCTTGATTCTTTTGTCATCGTTGTTGTTAAGGTAGTTGGCCATTTTGATTGTTGTCAGTTTGTAAGTATCTTCTACGCTTTTCATGCCACCTCCCCCTAGTTCTTCCGGTAGGTAGAGTAGTTTGCTGGATTCATGATAGTGCATTGCGCCCTCTTTTCTGAGAATATCTCTTGTTTGTCTGTCTATATCTCTGAGTTGGTTAACTGTCCAGTCGTTCGTCCACATATGGTACTGTAGGGCAGGTAGAGCAAAAGTCTTGGTAGCATGTATTTTCCTTGGAATTGAGATATTGCTTGACCAAATAACAGATAGACGTTTAAGGTATTCACTAGCTGCTTCGTYACATACTTSYTGTTSTAGTTGGACAGAGTTTTCATATTTACCAAGGAATTTATAGTAGTCATCAATGTCTAGCGGATTAGGGATACCAGATTTAAAGTTTGAGGCACCACTACAATTTGCCGCTTCAACCTGCATTACAAGAAACCATGCAGAATCCATAAAGACACAGAGCGAAACCTTGGTGGCTGATGCGAACGCTAACTCGGAGCTTAAAAGACAAAACCAAACAATCAGACAGGAAAAGATAGCATTGAATATGGAAAGAATTGATGCCTCACTCTCTCCAAANTTGGACCAATACTCTCTTTCTTTTCGTTGACTTTAACCTCGAGTGTGATGGACCATTTCTTCATTGTGTTCGTGATAAAGTTAGTGATTTTCGTTGGTATGYTATGCATTTGCAGTATAAGAGCAAGCCATTCGTGATTGATGGAGTCGAAGGCTTTTTTCACGTCAATCCATGTACATGAGAGATTTTTCTTTCTGTCTTTTGCCTCTTCTAGTGTTATTATGTCGATTATTAGATTATCAATGCATCCCATCAATTGTGAGGTACACCCTCTCTGGTCGATCTGCATGTATCGGTGTTTTTCTTGGTGATCTTTGAGTTTACCGTCTATGACTGATGTTATTATCTTGTACATTGTGTTAAGGARAGTTATTGGACGATGGTCTTTGGYTTGTGGGTTTTCTTTCTTTGGGATCATGACGCATTTCCCTTCTACTAACCAGTCTGGTAGGGGTATGTTGTTGTTGATAATTGTGTTTACAGCCTTTGCGAGTCCYTTATGCGTAGTTGGCAGAGTCTTATACCAATAATTAGTTATTTTGTCATTACCGGGAGAACTCCAGTTCTTCTTCTTTTTTATACTTGTATAGATGTCTTTCTCTTCGATGTTAATTGATTCCTCTACAGGTGTTGTCATTGTAGATTGGATTGCTTCTGTTACAGTATGTATCCATTTAGCTTCTAGGTTTGCTCTCTTTTCCGTTTCCCATATAGGCCTCCAAAAGTCGTTGAAGTCGTTCACTGTYGGCGAGGACGGATCGTCTGCAYTTGACTTTTGCGATGCTTTGTCTGTATAAGTAGGTCTTTCGTTGTTTGTGTCCGTCTTAATTATATTTCTGCAGTGATCGTAGAACTTTYTTTCGGAGMGGTCGAATTGCCTGTTTGCTGTTTTTCGTTTGTGTGATGTAAGCTTTCTTTTCCTCTGMATTTTCTTTACTCTCAGCTGGTTGATCTTTTTCTCTTTCAGTTCCTGTAGTCGTTGCTTTGTTAKTTTGTTCTTAATCTCMGATCTCATCCATTTYCTGTTTTTTCTTAGTTTTGACGTCAGCTTTCCGTTTGTTGTTASTCTCCTTATTTCTTCCGTTATTTGTGATGTTTGTTTACGCAGTTTGGTGATTTGATTGTCGACGATACGCATCCATTTTGGTCCTTGATAAGGAGTTGCTRTTGGTTTTGGTTTTCTGTTATTTCCRGTGTAKTTTTTCCACGCAACAGTAGTCGCATAAATTGCACAATTAAGTTCCCACAGGTATTGAGTTGGGCTGTCTTCCGGCAATGATGTTACGAGACATTGAAYTATTTCATTTAGCACTAGTAGATCTTCTTTATTTGGGTAAAATTTAGTGAATGTTGTATGCTCTCGATTTTTAAAGTCTTTAGTATCTTCCTTGATCTTTAAGTAGATAGGATTTGCGAGTTMGAATAGGTTATTGAATTTCGGACTAGTATTTGATTGTGGCGTGATGTCTSGCCTTTGTTCTTGCTGTGKTCGTTTCGGTTGACATTCCCTGGAGGGGGGCTGGCTGCATTCYTGGTCTTTTGAATTATCTGTGTCCTTTTGTTCCAGAATTTCTCTTGTGATGGCTTTTTTGCAGGTCTTTGATGTTTTCATCAGATTTGCATATTGGTCTCGCAAATTKCCWGCGTTCTTTTGTAAATAAGCGTATCCTTTTTCGTCAAAAAAACGTTTCGTGAGTTCCATAATACCGATTTTCCTTCCATTTCCTTTCTTAGGGCAGTCATCTGAGTTAAATAGTTGTTCGGCTTCTGTTCTAGAATCAATTAAAGCGGCGTTCATCTCTTGGGTCCATTTTGTTCTAACGCGGTGTCGTCCAGCATTCGTTGTTTCATCTCTCTGCTGRGGTTCCATTTGATTTMGAATGTGTTGCGTTTTAGTCTTCTTTGGTGTCGTAGAGAAGATGATGATTTGGACCAGAATAATCGTGACTATACGCATTATTTTAGCGTTTTTCAGATCTTTGTCGGGAGCGTTATGACTTGCGTCCGTACGCTTCGACGGTCACGAATTCTTCTTCTTCTTCTTCTTCTTCTTCTTCTTCTTCTTCTTCTTCTTCTTCTTMTTATTATTATTATTATTATTATTACTTATTTTGATCCCCTCTTCCATTTCTGAACATCATTTTGTCATT